CAATGAGTCAGCAGAACTTGATGTCTTTCTACTTCCAACTAAAGGAGTTGGATCAACAGAAGAGCCCTGCATATAGAACCATATATCCTGCTAAACTGCTAAAGGTATGCAGATTAAGGACCCAGTTGTGCTCCCACTGTAGTCCCTGGAGAAACTCCCACTCATTATACTAGAAGCAGAATCAAGTCCTCTATCTCTAACTACATCAGCAAAGGCAGCAGTTCCTCTGAGAGCAGTGTGGACATTAAAATGCAAAATACTGTGTGAAAAGAAAATATCACCTGTGGCAGGTTGCCAGCTGTGGGCAGTGAAAACTGGCTGCTGAAATTATTGCTTGAGAAGCATTCAGTTTGGTGAAATTGATGATGCTTACTCTTCATGATTTGACAGCCAAGTTGAAGGGAGTATTTATTTTAGATTATTTAGAAATGTACCGACCTGGGTGCAGGTACAAAACACTGAGCAATAAAATATAGCAATTAGGACCAAAGCATGAAATCCTCCTGGGCCCACAATGTCTGAATAACACTTGATTGTATTACCAGTATTTAAAATACTTTTAAACCAATGTTATTTCTGATAACAGAACCAATCAATGTAATCTGAGCTTTGTCGCTAATAAAATGTTTGAAAAATCACCAAAAGAATAGCTTACAGCACAAATTAGCAGAATTATAGAATTTAAATGGCAGACCTCATGCATTCCAGGTTTTGTGAGGCTTTCAAATTTGAAGCCGCTGACAGAAGCCTGAATTTCAGAAAGTGCTGAGTGTTGACCTCTGAAAATCAGGCCCTCTAAAGTGTCTCAAAAAAAACCCCCACAACTGAGCAACCCAAAATCACTAATCACTTTCAAAACTCTTGGCCAACATTTTTTTCCAACTAAAGGAAAGAAACCTGTATTAGGGATACAAGAAAATGCAAAAGCTAGGCTGGCATAAAGAGATGCCCTATAAGAAGATGCTATGTTTGTTTATTTGTTTAGCATTTCACTATCCCACTCTCCGCTCCATTTTCAAAAAGCAGAACACATACCCAGTAGTGATAGACTTAGAACCCTTAGGTGCCTAAATCTCAGAATCAGGCCCCATTGGGGTTCACAAAACCCTGCTTAGCTGCTACTGAATCCTTTAAGCTCAGTGTCTAAACTTTTGCAGTAAAAGTTTCCTTAGGCACCTATGTTTCTGCCTTATACATGCACACTGCAGCTCACTCTAAGCTTCTGAATACGTAAGCCCTAGAGCAGTGGTTCTCAATCCACATGCGGCCCAATTAGCACATGCTGTGTGCTAAAGGCCGCGGGTCTGGGTCCGGCTGCCCTGCCACGTGGTGGGCTCTGGGCTCCCGCCTGCCCTGCCTCAGCGGACTGCGGGCTGCCAGCTGCCACCCAGCCCCACACAGCAGGCTCGGGTTCTGGGCTGCCGGCTGCTGCCTGGCCCCGCACAGCGGGTTTGGGGTCCAGGGTCGGGCTGCGGGCTGATGGGGTCCGGCTGCGGGGTCCCAGCTGCTGCCCAGCCTTTCACAGCAGGAACGGGGTCTCTGCACAGAATGCCCCAGGCCTGACGTTCTGCTCCTGTCCCCACTTTATGGAGGGGTCTCTGGGAAGAGGGCGCTGGACATAGGGGTTTGTGTGTGGGGGGGTTAGGTAGGGGGCACTGTGGTTCTCAACCTGCGGCCGACATAACAGTTTGTGGGCCGCATATGCGGTCCACAATGATAAATTGGTTGAGAACCACTGCCGTAGACCAATACGTGAACCAGGGAAAAATAGGCATTCCTCTACCTAATTCACCTGCAGGTCCCAATCCAGCAGGTGAACTCTGAGCCTGCTTGCCAGTTTGGGCTCTTATAGACAAGTTCACACAAAACAGACTGGGGTGGGGAGGAGAAACTCTCTCATAACTTTTAGTCCAGTGGTCAGGTACTGACCTGGGATGTGGGAGACCACCAGTTCAAGTCCTCCTTCCTCTGCCTGAAGGGGAGATGGGATTGGACTATGTCTCTGTCACCTCTCATTTGAGTGCTGTAACTACTGATCTCCAGGATATTTTGATGTGAGGCTCGCTCAGTCTCTCCTGTTGAAGTTGTTCCAAAGAGTCATTGGGCCAGGAAGAGAAAGAGCTTGGTGGTTAGAACACTTGCCTGGGAGTAAGACCCAACCCAGGATTCAATTGAGCTGGCTCCATTGTTTCTTAATTATTTATCCACAGTAGAATACCTTCCACAGGAGAAAGCGAAGAGCTTCCCTCTCTCCCCTCCCACATCAAAATATCCTATAGCCCAGTGGATAGGCCATTCACCTGATAGATGGCAGAGCCCAGTTCAAATCCTTTTTCCCTTTCAGGCATGGGGTAGGGTAGGGTCTTGCACTGGGGGTTTCCCACATCCCAGGTGAGTACCCTAACCACTGGGCTAAAAGTTGTGAGGGAAGTCCATCTTCCTATCCTTCGGGCGGAAACAGCATAGGTGCCTACCCTCAAGAGGGTTTGCAGCTGAGAACTCCAAGCACAGCTAGTCACCTTCCTCTAGCTCAGGGGTTCCCAAACTTGGTTCGCGACTTGTTCAGGGTAAGTCCCTGGAGGGCCGCGAGATGCTTTGTTTACCTGAGCGTCCACAGGTACGGCCGCTTGCAGCTCCCAGTGGCTGCGGTTCGCCATTCCCTAGCTTGAATTTAAGTTCTGAACCCTCTGAAAGGGCCAGGGTTTAGGACAGACCTCTTGCTTTGCCATCTCCAATTGGCAGGGAGCTACCTAGCATGCTGGCTTTTGTGAATCCCATTCTGAGGGGCTTATCTCTCCCCATTCCTTGTATAGGGAGCCTAGACACCGAACTCAGGCTTTGTGAATCCGTGTGATTTTTTTAGGTGCCTCTAAGCATCACCACAGCTAAGTTTCTTTATGAATCGAGCCCTGATGCTCAAGTTCTTTTGAGATTAGGCAAAAAAGAATTTGCCAGTGTAGATTCTAAGATGAGAGTGGAGTTAGACAGAGACTGACAGTCTCTACATTTGTTTTACATAACTCAAATTTTCCCCATGTCATTTATTTGGTCAGTCAGAAATTTGGCAAAATAAAAATAATAGCATATAAAAAAATAATAAAAATAGTGAAGTATATATTAGCATCCTGTTTTTAGAATTCCATTTTACATTTATTATTTTATGACTGAGGTATTTTCAAGAATGTCTATTGCATTATGCCCAGGTTCAGTAGAGTGGTTCTGTCCGGCATCTTTTCAATATCAGGACCCTTTCTATATACTCATAAAATTCAGTCCATTCAGATCAGTTATTTCAGGACTATTTAACTCAATCATTTGTCGCCACCTCCTCTTCTCTAAAGCTGGAGGATGGATTTTGATGTTGGTGGTTTGTAGATGGGCTTTTGGTCCAAGTTTTTGGTTGGTTTTCCTACACCAAGCAGGCAGATCCAAGCAATCTTTGGTGATAAAGGCTTACTAAAGGGTCTGAAGAAATAAGTTAACTTTAACAAATATAGTTAGTTTACAAGAAATGTTCTCCTAGACCACAGGGCTTCTAATATTTTGGGAGTGATTTAGTGCAGAAACAAGTAAGCTGTTTCTAAAAATCTACAACAAATCTCCCCACAAACCTAACTACAGTATCAATTATTTAATGCTTTCCACTTACTTGATTGATACAGTAATCAGAGTCCATAGCTTTCCAGAATTCCATGGGTGTGTAATTTTTCTGAATAATCACCTACCACAAAATTCTCTGACCATGCTAAATGGAGCTGAAGTCATATAAAATAGATCAGACTAACCGGAGGGGATACTCCATCCTGTTTTCAAAAGTGGCCAGTCAGACAAAGCTTCACATCCCTCCTGGTTACTGCACAGTATTACCTTGTAAGATTTTGCTTTAAAGTAGGTGTTGAATGCACACGTACTAACTGACAAAATTTTACTGCATGGGGAAACTAAAATTCAGACTTTTTCTTGTCTCTACAATGAGATCTGAGTCAATTATCCTCATTACTATTATAGTCAATAGCTCTTCTCATCTCTTCAGGATCCCAACAGAGCAGGAACATCCCCTCCTGATAAATGCACAGTTTCAGTTGATATAAGTTTGAGGCTTCTATATTCTTGTATAAGAAAAGATTTTTTGGACAATGCCCTCTGCTAGACCAGGCTGACTAAACCCATATCATGAATAAACAAAAGCCACTGATTCACATAAAAAATACGTTTTTTTCTGTCTTGTATTGCCTTAATGGTCAGCTGCTCTGCTGGGAAAAGCTGCTTCTGACATTTTAAGGTTCAAGAAAGAGCTAAAAGTTTCACCCCTGAGTTAATGCTCTATTCAGAAGCCTGGAATTCAGAAAGTACACTAGAAAGTAAGGTACATCGCTTGGGGTGTGTGAAAAATTCACACCCTGAGACACATCATTAAGCCAAGCTAAATCCCAGTGTAAACAGGAAGAATTCTTCCATTGACCTATCCATCTCCTCTCGGAAAGGTGGTTTTACTACAGTGATGGAAGAACCTCTGCCATCCCCTGTAGTAAGTGTCTACACTACAGCATTGCTGCTATAGCATTTCTAATGTAGACATTAGACAACAAAGGACAAAAGGGTGGGTACCTAGATACAGTAGCTGGGATTTTCAATGAGCCTATGGAAATTAGATGAGTCCCTTGGAAATTCAGAGGAAATTGGGTGCCCAGCTTCCTTAGAGCCCTTTGAGAATTTCAGTTTAAAGCAATAGGTACCCTGTGAATATGGCTTATTCCTACAGAGAGATAGATGACTGAAACAGCCAACAGTCTCAAAGATACAAAAGACAAGGAAAACTAAAAGAAAATTTAGCTGTAAATGAATGAAATACAAAAAGACACTTTAGTACAGAGTTAAAGGAAAGGCTGAAATCCAGAGCCGGTGGCTTTAAAGAACAAATGCAGAGAGATCTTGATCGTTCAATGAGTAATTAATCAATGAAGAATAGAATCCAGAAGAAAAACATTAAAGATACTTACACAAGAGAAAGAAGCCAGCTAAGACAATACCCTCCATCATGATCATCACTGCAGCAGCAGAAAAAGAAACTGCGTAGTTATAATACCTCTTTAGTGTTGTTTCTGTTCGCTATAGTTAGAAGCCTTTTGATTTCTTGGACTATGTTTGCATTATTCAGATGTTATGTGGGGAAATGAACTAGCCTATATTTCTCTCTGAAAAGATGTACCATTCTTGGGACCGCTATAAAAAGCAAACCTGACAATTGCAGTTGCCAACTGAGGAGACAATATCAGCTGCTTCTGGTTGCTAGAAAAGATTCATAGATTCATAGATTCTAGGACTGGAAGGGACCTCGAGAGGTCATCGAGTCCAGTCCCTCGCTCGTCGACTAGTAC